GTGGGAAGAGGGATATTCCCGTCCATTTATCCTGCTCCAGGAAAATCGATAAGGAAGTGAGGAGACCCCTTGCTGGAAAGAGGGAACACTCCGTCCATCCATCCATTCCAGGGAAAGCGGAATCCTACCATCCATTCACCACTAAGCCCTATTAAAGGGACACAAGCCTTTTATGACCTCACTTAACGGTCTGGTCATATACACCAGAGCACAACCAGTGAAGGTGCATAACATTTTTTTATGATTGGTGAACTGCACAGTTATTATTTTGTATCACAACATTGGAAGAAGTGTCAAGGTCACGGATTTAATAAGGACAAGTTTGCAGCAGTAATATAATTGCAGAGATATTGATATGTATTCTTTCGAAGCTGGACTATTATTTATGTAATATTTATTTATTCACATTTTTGCAATTGGTAGTGGAGCGCGACACCATTTCTGATTTTATTTTATTCTCTATGACACTCAGCCTCTTCATCAGGGCTTATGAGAACGGCTGTTGAGGGACTTGAGCTGTAGATAAAATCAGGATAACTGTAAACTAAAAAACCCTGAACCCCTTCAGCTGTTAGATAGCTCTGGTTAGGTGGACTGAGTTTTTTTTTCAATACAAGGAAGTGTGCACAACACACTAAGGCTGGCCATACACTATACGATTTTCTGTCCAATTTCTGCCTAATTTTCTTGGATTTACCTTCACCTATGTAGTGCAAGGGCCTGCCTAATTGGATACAATTGAAAGTGTTGTGTGGGTTTGACCTCATATTATATGGTTTTTAGTAAATATAAAGCAAAATTCTCAAGAAAAGTGTACAATGTATGGCTAGTCTAACTCTCAGTGTTGTCAAGGAGAAGTTTTGGAGAACTTCCATAGTCTTTGTGATACAAGCGTGACAGGTAAAGGGTGAGCATGCAGATGGAAAGAGAAGCAGACAGCTGCCAAAGCAGCCTACAAATTAAAAAAATAAATGTGAAGGATGGCAGCATCAGGATTCAAGGTGCTCAACAGCAAATGCAAGGCACATTCCCTGTAGTTACACAGAGTTAATCTTTTTTTTGCAGGGTCCTAAATTTTGACTAGAAGAAGATTCATTCTAGGGCTCCAATTTCATTGTGGTTCATCATGGCTAAGTGTCACATACAGTACATTTAAGTTTCCCTAAGAACACTTAGAAATGCATTATTATATTTTATACTCTGAAAAATATCCTTCCCTGTGCAATTAATTTATGACATAAGATAGAACAGACATTACAATAACATTGCTGTAAGCACAGAGGTCGTATTTTAAAACCTGGAATGTAATAATGCTTGTTAACTCAATACCAACAAATAATTTCAAAATTTCCAGTTGACACATGTAATAAGTTATTTCTAAGAATGGGAAAATAAAATAATGTTCCTGAATGGAAATGGAACTTTCCCCTTGTACTGTAGGGCATTATGTAGGAAATTATATTAGAGTTTGGCAGGACCTAATTCTGATTTATCCTGTAAGTTACATGCTGCCTAGACATTTTGCTTTTCAGAAATAGAGGCACATTAAATGTTGAATTTTCTGCTTGGCTTGAATGATACATTTGCTAGAAATGGAAATACAAATTTGTGATTGTTTTGTTTATATGCCTTAGCAATACACTGGAGTAATAAAATGTTAAAAGATAATAATTTGTGTATATCTGGAGAAACTGTACAACTATAAAATGTAATATATTTCCTTTTCTTTTCTTGTGCTTTAACCACTTTCCGTCCGGCTGTTTTATATAAACGGACGGTGGCAGTGCAGGGACGGGTGGCCGTTTATAAACACAGTGGAACACCGATCGTTGTATGGGACCTCTGTGCGAGGTTCCGATCATGTGATCACTGATTGGCCAATCAGTGATCACATGAAGAGTAGTAAGCAAGATGTCACTTCTGACATCATTGCTTGCTATGTGTGAAATCTGTGAATGATTACAGAGGTCACATGGTAGGAAGCTATTCACAACAGCCTTGTACCAGGTGACAAGCTGTGACCAATCACAGCACACACAGTATTTCTCAATGGCTGCAAGAATGCAGCCAGAGAGAAGGCAAAATGATTGCTTTGTACAGCCTTTATGGGTGTAAAAGCAATCAGTGTAAAAAAAAAAAATATTCAAAACCACCCACAAGTAGTACAGTGTCACCATGATGACACTGTACTGCTAGGATGACAGTATGTAAAAAAAAAAGAAAAAAAACATAAATAGTAATATAAAAAAATAAAATAATAATGTAAAAAAATACATTTTTAATTATAATTTTTGGTTATAAGCTAATTTGGGTTATTTTTTTTACTAAAAAGATAATTGAATACATTTTGGCCAAGATTTATGAAGAAAGATTATTTATTTGCACAATTTTATAAGAAAAAAACACTTTTTTTTTTCAAAATTGTTGGACTTTTCATTTAGATAGCAAAAAAAATAAAAATCCCAGTGGTGAATAAATACCACCAAAAGAAAGCTTTATCTGTCTCAAAAAAAATGCTAAAAAAGTCATATGGGTACAGTGTTACATGACTGCGCAATTGTCATTCAAAATGTGATAGTGCTGAAAGCTGAAAATTGGCCTGCACAGGAAGGGGGTGAAAGTGTCTGAACTTGAAGTGGTAAAGGACTATCACCTCAGAATCAGTCTGGTGTAAACATTACTTTGTTTACATTCAGCTTACCCCTGTTAGTACTGTAATTGCAGATAAGGTGTAGGATCAAGGAAAGTGTATTCTGTACATGTCTGTTTTATTCCCTGGCTTCACTGCCAGGAGCAATAAATGATTTCTGTGATGCAAATGTCAGTTGTAGTAGGTAGATTGCAGACCTAGAAAATCATTGATGCTTTCCTACTTCTCGGTCCTGGTCTGATGACTTGTGCACTTCACTCAATAGCTAAACTGAAGGAGGTCCTGTCTGCTTCCAGCAGTTTTGGATGTTTCTCCACTGACCGCATGTTACATACCATGTTTCCCCGAAAATAAGACACTATCTTATATTTTTTTTGGCTCAGAAAAAAAACACACTATGTCTTATTTTTGGGGTAAGTCCAGGGGCAGACTGACCATTTGGAAACTCGGGCATTGCCCGAGGGCCTGGGGTCAGTAGGGGCCCCATGAGATGCCCCTGGTACCTTTTTCATAGGCTTTTTTGAGTTTGGGCAAGGACACAGGGGCCCCATGATCCCCTGTTGCCCGGGGGCCCCATGAGTTGTCAGTCCACCCCTGGGTAGGTCTTATTTTTTAAATGTCCAGGTGTGGACAGGGGGTGCAGAGGTGAGCTGCAGGCAGTTGTGGATGAAGGTTACTATGGAGGGGGCCGGCTGATGACAGTTGTGAGCTGCAGTCAGGTGTTGCAGGGGTGACTTGACAGGTGAGTTTCAGACAGGGTGCAGATATAAGCCACAGACAGGGTGAAGGGGTGAGCTGCAGACGTGGGATGTAGAGCTGAGCTGTGGCCAGGGGGTGCAGAGCTGAGCTGTGGCCGGGGGTTGCAGAGCTGAGCTGTGGCCGGGGGTTGCAGAGCTGAGCTGTGGCCGGAGGGTGCAGAGCTGAGCTGTGGCCGGGGGGTGCAGAGCTGAGCTGTGGCCGGGGGGTGCAGAGCTGAGCTGTGGCCGGGGGTGCAGAGCTGAGCTGTGGCCGGGGGTTGCAGAGCTGAGCTGTGGCCGAGGGTTGCAGAGCTGAGCTGTGGCCGGGGGTTGCAGAGCTGAGCTGTGGCCCGAGGGTGCAGAGCTGAGCTGTGGCTGGGGGGTGCAGAGCTGAGCTGTGGCCGGGGGGTGCAGAGCTGAGCTGTGGCCGGGGGTGCAGAGCTGAGCTGTGGCTGGGGGGTGCAGAGCTGAGCTGTGGCCAGGGGCTGCAAAGGTGGGTTGCAACTCAGCTCACCTCTGCACCCCCCCAGCCTCAGCTCACCTATGCACCCTGTCTGCAACTCACCTGACTTAATTTACCTCTGCAACACCTGACTGCAGCTCACCTTTGCACATCCCCCCTCCCCCTCCACTGCCTTCATATGGTTAGCTAGTTTTGCAAAACACTGCTGTCAGCAGCCAGCCCCTCTCTATAACTCCTGTTTCGGGTCCTATCTTCCCACACAGTGCACCAAGCGCACTTACTCACCGCTCCGCCTCTTCCCCACTGGCTGGTGATCACCCCTGGGGCATCGGCTTCCATGCATTAGGCTGCAGGAGGAGATGCCACACCCCTAAACACACTGTTTACTGTTTACTGCACCCACATATATCTGTTCCTTCCCTGTCCCACAGTGAGTACAGAGGTAGGGAGGTTCTGTGGGAGCGGATGGTGCTGTCACTTCAGCCGTGCTTCTATGTTTATAAGAGACAGTAGATATGGGTGTGCACAGGGCCAGTGCCAGAGGTGGCGGAATGGCAGTCTGCCATGTTCCGCCTGAAAAAAAGCCCTGATCACAACTAGGTCTTATTTTCGGGGTAGGTCTTATACTTTAGCAATTCCCAAAAATAGCACTAGGTCTTATTTTCGGGGTAGGTCTTATCTTAGGGGAAACAGGGTAAATGTTTTTACTTATGGATGTTGGCAGTAAAGACATTTACCCACTTGCCCTCCAGAGGATTTACCCCCCTTCCTGACAAGGCCATTTTTTGTTGCTGCGTTACTTTAACTGAAAATTGCACGGTCGTGCAATGCTGTTGATAAATTAAATTCTCACAAAAACAGCTTTCTTTCAGTGGTGGTGTATTTGATCGCCTCTGCGGTTTTTATTTTTTTGCCCTATAAACAAAAAAAGACCAACAATTTTGAAAAAAAACAACAATATTTTTGACTTTTGCTATAAAACATATCCAATAAAAAAAATTTAATTTCTTCATAAATTTAGGCCAAAATGTACTCTGCTACATGTCTTTGCTAAAACAAATCCCAGTACGTGTAAATTCACGTTTATGTGAAAGTTAAAGTGTCTACAAATGGCGGTATATATGCTAGAATTTTTTTTTTATACTAGTAATGGGCATTCTGACACTGGGTGGGAACTGACTAACTGCCACTGACATCCCCAGTGACACTAATACAGTGATCAGTGCTAATAAAAAGCAATGACACTGTACTAATGGCACTGGGCAGAAAGGGGTTAACATCTGGGGCGATCAAAAGGTTAACCATGTGCTTTGTGTGTTTTACTAGGGAGACATGCTGTTTTGTATCTGTCTGCTGTGCAGAGAGATACAAAGCAGCATGTCCATGCTGACAGGAGAGAGACCAGTGTTGTTCCCACATGGAAGAAAAATATATTTGAGAAAAAATATTTGAAATAAATTTTAAAAATATTCTTCCCAAATATATTGACATATATTCAAAATATATTTCAATAAATATATATATATATATATATATATACTGCATGTTGAAATTACAAAATATATGAAAACTATTTTTAAAAATACATTTCAAATATACTATAAATTTTTGGAATGCATTTACAAATGTATGTACAAATATATGTTAAAATTACTTTTTTATATGTTTTTTTAAAATCTGAAGAATATAATTAAAAAATGAAATCTATTTTTAAAAATATTTTCATATATTTTGTAATATATAAAAACGCATTTCAACATGCAGTGTATATATATATATATATATATATATATATATAATTTTTTTCTTCATATATTTTGTAATAACGCATTTCAACATGCAGTGTGTGTAAATAACTTATATACAAAAAATGCAGGGCAATATTAATATTATAAAATAAATAAATTATAAATATATATAAATATTGCTCTGTGACAATAATTAAATACTTTATAAGTGCATGTACTGTGCTCAAAACGTATTGCTTTAAATTAAACATAATAACGCACACTTTCTCATACTGCTCATAATGCCATGCGTTATCTGAATCCTATCCACTGTGCGTTTATCTAATAACAGTGTCCCAATATGTCCCTTTAACCCAGGCGGGTTTGCTGGTATATATTATGGTTACGGCTTGACGTCATCGGAGTGCCCTACATGTTACGTCACGACATGTGACTTCATGCAGGATTTCGTGATGTAACGCGTAGGGCACGTCGATGACGTCAAGCCGTAACTGGAAGTGTACGTACCACCATCTTGGATAGGGGATCCAATGCAGTTTCATTCACAAAATCACTATTCAAAGAGGTATTGATCCTGTAGTGTCCCAGAAGGACACAAATAAATGTGAGTGGACAATTTTACCAGTTTTAATAAAGTTTATAATGGTTTGATATACTTCACCATCTGGAGCATTTTTTCCATTTTCCGTGGTGCGTTTTGGAGTTTGGAGGTGCAGGAGGATTTGGAAATAATACAGGTGAAACTCGAAAAATTTGAATATAATGCAAAAGTTCATTTATTTCAGTAATGCAACATAAAAGGTGAAACTAATATATGAGATAGACTCATTACATGCAAAGCAAGATAGTTCAAGCCGTGAATATTGTGAAAAGGTGCAATATTCTAGGCTCAAAGTGTCCAACTCTAATCAGCTAATTAAGCCATAACACCTGCAAAGGGTTCCTGAGCCTTTAAATGGTCTCTCAGTCTGGTTCAGTAGGAATCACAATCATGGGAAAGACTGCTGACCTGACAGTTGTGCAGAAAACCATCATTGACACCCTCCATAAGGAGGAAAAGCCTGAAAAGGTAATTGGAAAGAAGTTGGATGTTCCCAAAGTGCTGTATCAAAGCACATTAATAGAAAGTTATGTGGAAGGAAAAAAAGTGTGGAAGAAAAAGGTGCACAAGCAGCAGGGATGACCGCAGCCTGGAGAGGATTGTCAGGAAAAGGCCATTCCAAAGTGCTGGGGACTTTCACAAGGAGTGGACTGAGGCTGGAATCAGTGCATCAAGAGCCACCACACACAGGCGGATCCTGGACATGGGCTTCAAATATCGTATTCCTCTTGTCAAGCTGCTCCTGAAAAACAAACAACATCAGAAGCGTCTTACCTGGGCTAAAGAAAAACAGACCTGGTCTGTTGCTCAGTGGTCCAAAGTCCTCTTTTCTGATGAGAGCAACTTTTGCATCTCATTTGGAAACCAAGGACCCAGAGTATAGAGGAAGAATGGAGAGGCACACACTGCAAGATGCTTGAAGTCCAGTGTGAAGTTTCCACAGTCTGCGTTGATTTGGTGCGCCATGTCATCTGCTGGTGTTGGTCCACTGTGCTTCATTAAGTCCAGGGTCAACGCAGCCGTCTACCAGGAGATTTTGGAGCACTTCATGCTTCCTTCCGCAGATGAGCTTTATGGGGATGCTGACTTCATTTTCCAGCAGGACTTGGCACCTGCCCACACTGCCAAAAGCACCAAAACCTGGTTTAATGACCGTGGGATTACTGTGCTTGATTGGCCAGCAAACTCGCCTGACCTGAACCCCATAGGGAATCTATGGGGCATTGCCAAGAGAAAGATGAGAGACATGAGACCGAACAATGCAGAAGAGCTGAAGGCCGCTATTGAAGCATCCTGGTCTTCCATAACACCTCAGCAGTGCCACAGGCTGATAGCTTCTATGCCACGCCACATTGAGGCAGTAATTGCTGCAAAAGGGGCCCAAACCAAGTACTGAGTACATATGCATGCTTATATTTTTCAGAGGTCCGATATTGTTCTATGTACAATCCTTGTTTTATTGATTGCATGTAATATTCTAATTTTTCATTTTGTGGATTTGGGGTTTTCATGAGCTGTAAGCCATAATCATCACAATTATGACAAATCACATCTTGAACTATCTTGCTTTGCATGTAATGAGTCTATCTCATATATTAGTTTCACCTTTTAAGTTGCATTACTGAAATAAATGAACTTTTGCATGATATTCTAATTTTTCGAGTTTCACCTGTATATACTAGCAAACCCGCCTGGGTTAAAGGGAAAGGTGCGCTTTTGACCTGACAGTTCGGGTCAACTTCCAAGTGGTGCGTTTTGGTGTTTGGAGGTGCAGGAGGAGTTGGAGATTGATACACCAGTATACCCGCCCGGGTTAAAGGGAAAGGCGCAGTTTGACCTGACGGTTCGGGTCAATCCACAAGGTGAGCGCATAAGTGTGTTGGAGGTGGATCTAACACTGAGGGGTCACACAAAATCACTGGATGAATATATACAGAGGAGAGATTGCACAGTAGCACTTGGAGCACTGAGTCTTAAAGGGACAGTTCACCAAGATTTATATTAGATAAACGCACAGTGGATAGGATTAAGATAACGCATGGTATTATGAGCAGTATGAGGAAGTGTGCGTTATAGTGTTTAATTTAAAGCAATACGTTTTGAGCACAGTACATGCACTTATAAGGTATTTAATCACAGAGCAAGATTTATGTATATTTATTATTTATTTATTTTATAATATTGCGCTGCATTTTTTGTATATTAATATTTTTTAAATATATTTCAAATATATATTTCTTCCATATGGGTTTACACACAGGTCTCTCCCCTGTCAGCTTTCCCCCATGATTGCCGAGTGGCGGCTGGGAATCACTGGCCGGGACCCGATGACTGACATCTCTAGCCTCCAATAGCGGAGTGGGTAGGGCGGATTACGTGCACCCTCTACCCGGAAATGCAAGTCACATATATATACATGATTTTGCTCAGCCCAGCCGTCCTGTAGCAGTACTTCTGATATAGGGCAGAGGGCAAAACAGGTATGCAAAGCAGGTGCCTCTTCAATCCTTGTCAGCAGTGCAGACATAACAAGCTGAATGCAAACACAGCGATGGGCCTGGACTTATGATGGCAGCTCTCAGAGCGCAGGTTATGTTACAGCTACATTTAGGGCAGAAAGTTATGGTTAGAGTCTTTTTGTCATCAATCACCCATAACCAAAATATAGATTCTAGCCACGTATTTGCTGAAACATCGGGTAAGTTGTAAAGCCTTAATGAAACGTAAAGTGATATTAAACCCTCAGTTTTTTAAGCATGTTCAGTAGCTGATTTAACTACTTGCACTCCTGCGGATTTTCCCCCCTTAACCCCTTCACGCCAGCCTAGACGCCGAGTGGCTGCACATTTGCGTTCATGTAACAAAAAACATATGTGCTGAGAGCACGTGCCCTGCACGCTCCCAGCACACATGTGAGGTACTCACGGAAAGGTCCTGGTTTTTTCTTTCGATCGGGACCTTTCCCGATCATGTGACCAGCCATGACGTGACGTCACGGCGGCCACCTGACACTAAGCCCTGCCCCGTCCCACCCACATCCCAGCGCAGGAACTTCTCTTCACGCCGATCCGGCGTGAAGGAGTTAATGACCAGGCCTCTTTTTGCTACTCGGCGCTGCACTAATTCAACTGATAATTGCGCGGTCATGCAATGCTGCACCCAAACGAAATTTACGTACTTTTTTCACACAAATAGAGCTTTCTTTCAGTGGTATTTGATCACCTGTGCGCTTTTTATTTTTCACGCTATAAACAAAAAAAGACCTAAAATTTTGAAGAATAACGATATTTTTTACTTTCAGCAATAAAAAATATATAGTAAACTAATATATAGTAAATTCAAAGTTAGTTATAAATTTAGGCCAAAATGTATTCTGCTACATGTTTTTGGTAAAAAAAACATCCCAATAAGTGTATATTGATTGCTTTGTGTGAAAGTTATAGCGTCTACAAACTATGGTATAGATACTGCAATTTACGTAATTTTTTTGCTATACAGCGCTGCGCTAGTTTAACGGACAATTGCGCGGTCATGCGTTACGGTACATAAATGAAATTTATATCCTTTTTACACACAAATAGAGCTTTCTTTTGGTGGTATTTGATCACCTGTGCACTTTATATTTTTGAAGAAAAAAAAACTTTTTTAAAAAAACAATATTTTCTCGTTTCGGTCATAAAAAATATTAAAAAAACTAAAATTTCATCATAAATTTAGGGCAAAATGTATTCTGCTACATGTTTTTGGTTAAAAAAAATCCCAGTAAGTGTATATTTATTGCTTTGTGTGAAAGTTATAGCGTCTACAAACTATGGCATAGATAATGGAATTTACACAGCTTTTACTTTCTGACTGCCCATCAGATTTCTTGAGGTGCTAAAATACCAGGATAGTACAAACACCCTCAAATGAACCCTTTTTGGAAAGTAGTAAGCTATCTGTTGAGAGGCATGTTGAGAGGCATGTTGAGTCCATGTAAGATTTATTTTTTTCTACAAGTTTCTGGAAAATGACAAAAACATTTTTTTTTTACACAAAGTTGTCATTATTATTTATTTCTTGCACAAGCCATGGGTATATGTGGAATTACACCCCAAAATACATTCTGCTACTTCTACCGAGTATGGGATACCACATGTGTGAGACTTTTTGGGAGCCTAGCCACATGCAGGAGCCTGAAATCCAATGACCACTTTGAAAGCCTGAAGGTGCGTAACTTCCTCATTTCACTTCCTCAATACCTATCACAGTTTTGAAGGCCCTGACATGTCAGGATAGCACCAAACCCCCCCCCCCCAAATGACCCTTTCTGGACACCCACAGGAATTTAAAAAGAGGCATGGTGAGTATTTTGCAGATCTCATTTTTTCTCACGAGGTTTTGAAATATAAAAAAAATAGAAAAAATATATTTTTTTTTTTTTTTTTTCATTTTCCAAAAACTTGTGACAACAAATGGGATCTGCAAAATACTTACCATGCTTCTTATCAAATTCCTTGGGGTGTCTACTTTCCAAAAAGGGGTCATTTGGGGGGGATTAAGTGCTATCCTGGCATTTCAGGGCCTCCGAAACGGTGATAGGTAGTCTGAAAGTGTAATGAGGAAATAATGTTCTTTAAAAGCCTGAAGGTGCTTATTGGATTTTGGGGTCCTGTGCTTGGCTTTACTGCCAAAACATCTCTCACATGTGGTATCCCCATACTCGGGAGAAGTAGCAGAATGTATTTTGGGGAGTAATTCCACATATACCTATGGCATGTGTGAGCAGTAAATCATTTAAGTGACAATTTTGTGTAAGAAAAAAAAACAAAGAAAGATTTTTGTCATTTTCCAAAAACTTGTGGTAAAAAAATAATTTCTTCTATTGATTCAACATGTCTCTCAGCAAATATCTTGGGGTGTCTACTTTCCATAAAGGGGTCGTTTTGGGGGGGTGGGGGCATTTTAAGCCCAGAATTAGAAGCTTATGCCACACATCACTCACTCTTCTAACCACCTGAAGATCAAGCCTTTTCTGACACTTTTTTGTTCACATGAAAAAAATCTGTATTTTTTGCTAGGAAATTAATTTAAACCCCCAAACATTATATATTTTTTTAAAGCAGACACCCTATTGAATAGAATGGTGGGTACTACAGTTTTTTATGGCACATAGTACTCACGCAGCGATTTTTCAAAAGCAATTTGTTTTAAAAAAAAATACACTTTTTTTGCTTTTAATGCACAAAAACACAATATATTGGTCAATTATTTGGTATGATATAAAAGATGATGGTATGCCGAGTAAATAGATACCAAACATGACATGCTTTAAAACTGCGCATGCCCCGTGCAATGGTGACAAACTGCATACATTTTTAATATCCATAGGCAACACTTTAAAAGCCTTTAAAATCTACCATTTTAGATTTACAAAGGAGGTAAAGTGTTAGAATTACTACCCTTGATCTGACATTGACGGCGATACCTCACATGTATGGTGCAACCGCTGTTTACATACAGGCACAGGGTCAACACTTGTGCACACAGGTGTGTGCGCATGGGAGGGGCGAGTTATTTTGATTTTTTAAAATAATTTTTACACTGTAACTTTCATTTTTTTTTTTTGATCACTTTTAATGCTATCTCAGAGAATGCAAATATCCCTTATAACTTCAATGGGCATTGTCATATACAATCAGGTCCATAAATATTGGGACATGGACACAATTCTAACATTTTTGGCTCTATACACCACCACAATGGATTTGAAATGAAACGAACAAGATGTGCTTTAACTGCACACTGTCAGCTTTAATTTGAGGGTATTTACATCCAAATCAGGTGAACGGTGTAGGAATTACAACAGTTTGCATATGTGCCTCCCACTTGTTAAGGGACCAAAAGTAATGGGACAGAATAATAATCCTAAATCAAACTTTCACTTTTTAATACTTGGTTGCAAATCCTTTGCAGTCAATTACAGCCTGAAGTCTGGAATGCATAGACATCACCAGACGCTGGGTTTCATCCCTGATGATGCTCTGCCCGGCCTCTACTGCAACTGTCTTCAGTTTCCTGCTTGTTCTTGGGGAATTTTCCCTTCAGTTTTGTCTTCAGCAAGTGAAATGCATGCTCAATCGGATTCAGGTCAGGTGATTGACTTGGCCATTGCAGAACATTCCACTTCTTTCCCTTTAACTCTTTGGTTGCTTTTGCAGTCTGCTTTGGGTCATTGTCCATCTGCACTGTGAAGCGGCGTCCAATGAGTTCTGAAGCATTTGGCTGAATATGAGCAGATAATATTACCTGAAACACTTCAGAATTCATCCTGCTGCTTTTGTCAGCAGTCACATCATCAATAAATACAAGAGAACCAGTTCCATTGGCAGCCATACATGCCCACACCATGACACTACCACCACCATGCTTCACTGATGAGGTGGTATGCTTAGGATCATGAGCAGTTCCTTTCCTTCTCCATACTCTTCTCATCCCATCACTCTGGTACAGGTTGATCTTGGTCTCTGTCCATAGGATATTGTTCCAGAACTGTGAAGGCTTTTTTAGATGTCGTTTGGCAAACTCTAATCTGGCCTTCCTGTTTTTGAGGCTCACCAATGGTTTCCATCTTGTGTTGAACCCTCTGTATTCACTCTGGTGAAGTCTTCTCTTGATTGTTGACTTTGACACACGTACACCTACCTCCTGGAGAGTGTTCTTGATCTGGCCAACTGTTGTGAAGGGAGTTTTCTTCACCAGGGAAAGAATTCTTCGCTCATCCACCACAGTTGTTTTCCGTGGTCTTCCGGGTCTTTTGGTGTTGCTGAGCTCACCGGTGCGTTCCTTCTTTTTAAAAATGTTCCAAACAGTTGTTTTGGCCACGCCTAATGTTTTTGCTATCTCTAAGATGGGTTTGTTTTGTTTTTTCAGCCTAATGATGGCTTGCTTCACTGATAGTGACAGCTCTTTGGATCTCATCTTGAGAGTTGACAGCAACAGATTCCAAATGCAAATAGCACACTTGAAATGAACTCTGGACCTTTTATCTGCTCATTGTAATTGGGATAATGAGGGAATAGCACACCTGGCCATGGAACAGCTTAGAAACCAATCGTCCCATTACTTTTGGTCCCTTAACAAGTAGGAGGCACATATGCAAACTGTTGTCATTCCTACACTGTTCACCTGATTTGGATGTAAATACCCTCAAATTAAAGCTGACAGTCTGCAGTTAAAGCAGGTGTGGTGGTGGTGTATAGTGGTGTATAGAGCCAAAAATGTTAGAATTGTGTCCATGTCCTAATATTTATGGACCTGACTGTATTCTTTTTTGAGAAATCTGGGGTCT